CTCCTCTCTCTCTCTTTCTCTCTCTCTCTCCACTGCCCACAGACAAAATTGTACGCTTTTAGTAGGCTACAGTTGTAATGGAACGTTTGTTCACGGCACAGAATTCTACAATTTTTCTGTTATCACAGTGTAGAATTCTGTGGTTTAGGGTGAACGCAAAATTTGGTGAACGCGCACCGGGTGAGAATAGCCACAAGACTCGCCTGCACTATTCTCACTCCGGGTGAGAATAGAGGTGGCCCTTTTGGTTTTGTCTGAACCCGCCCGGAAGTTCTCGCAAGATCAACTCCTCCCCTCTTCTCTCTCTCTCTGTCTCTTTCTGAATACTGTCTATCGGTGTGGACGATCAAATTGACCAAAACAAAGTTAAAAAATGATGTTAAAACACAAAAGTAAATTAATTTGGTTGTCTACAAAGATGCTACGGCTATTACTATTTAACTTTTCGAATCGAGCCGAACTACGCGGGTCGCCATTTTGTTTTGCCCGGAAATTCTCGCGCTACTCCTCTCTCTCTTTCTCTCTCTCTCTTGTACGCTTTTAGTAGGCTACAGTTGTAATGGAACGTTTGTTCACGGCACAGAATTCTACAATTTTTCTGTTATCACAGTGTAGAATTCTGTGGTTTAGGGTGAACGCAAAATTTGTTGGCCTAGATCTTGGCTTTAACGGTGAACGCGCACCGGGTGAGAATAGCCACAAGACTCGCCTGCACTATTCTCACTCCGGGTGAGAATAGAGGTGGCCTTATAATTTAGGCATAGCAAACTAAAAATTTCATTTACAATTCAGCCATCAATATTAAGTTCGGCTAGCCTGACAGTCTAGCCGTCCTTAAGTATGGCTAGCCTGGCTGTCTACCCGTACTTAAGTCCGGCTAGACAAGAAGTCTAGCTGTACTTATCTTAGGCCCAATTAACATTAGAAAACAGGAGGTTTAAAATACATGCACTGTCATTAAGGCACCTGGTTTCAAGGCACCTGGTTTCGTCTCAAATACAAATACTTTAGGTACTGCACACTAAAAATTTATATTTACAATTCAGTAGGCCTATTTTTTAAAATGGTCAGTCTAGCCATCATATTTAGAATAAGTACGGCTAGACTGCAAGACTGCTAGACAATAAAATTTCATAGTATTCGCACACCCTGTGCGAATACAATTCCATAGTAGTATTCACACATCCTGTGCGAATAATTACAGCCTTAAAAATAAGTATGGCTAGCCCAGCTGTCTAGCTGTCATTAAGTACGGCTAGCCTCTTCCATTTTTTAAACAGATTTTGCGCCTTTACCCTGGGACTATCCAATCGCCTTTGTGTAATGTTGAGCCAGCCTTTCATTCTTCGAATTTTAATTGGTGCGTTACAATACAATGATGAGTTATGACCTGAATATGAGTGGTAATTTCGGTCAGAGATGAAGGAAACACTAAATACTTAACAGGTAAAGGGGAGGAGCAATAAGTGAGATACGAGATATTAATTATTAATATATGCTAAGGAACCCAACGACACAAGCTAACAATTAAGACTGTAGTATTTGTGCATCAATACAGTTTGTAAATTTTTATCCCATTTTAAAAGACAAAGGATACTGTTATTATTAGGAGACCTACCTTTTCAATAATTAAAGGCCAGCTCTATTTCTCCGAACGTTCGAGAAAATAAACTTGAACTCTATTTCTCTGAACGGTTTACGTTCTTGAGATTTTAATAATGGAGTGGCCCACGCGTATGTGTGTGCGTGTGTGTGTATGTGTGTGTTTGTGTGAGAGAGAAAGAGTGCGTGTGTGTGACAGTGTGTGTGTGTGTGTGTGTGTGCGTAAGGTGTGAACGGAAGGGGGGGGGGGGGGGGGGGGGGGGGGTTGCACTTCATGTAAAATGTAAAAAAAGTAAACAAATTTACTGTGCTCAATAATTCATTTACAAAGGCATCGTTATTAGCAAATCAGTTAAGCTGATTTTGACTCTCTTTTGCTCTATAATGTTCCTTTTTTGAAGGCCTTTTACCTATGCTTTCTAAACTAAGACAACATATTAATTAGTCCTTTACCTTCACCATAACACATGAAAGAAAAGATGGTAATGGCACCCCCCTTGAATCATGCAATCAATGTGTCAAATTCAGTACTTTGTGGTATGGTATAAAATAACTAATCCTTTCAGCAGGATCTTATAGTAAGATTTACTCTCATGTCTGTTACTCGGCAAGACAACTGTTGTTGTTTTTGGGGGTTTTTTCCTCCACCCCTACCCCTCCCCTAACCTCCTACCCCCAGCCTTTCTTGATTTTTAAACTACTGGTAGGCTGTGTTTCATGACTAGTCAACATGGGGATCAAAACATAAAGTTAATACAGTCCTTACCAGACTTCCCTCCCCTCTTTTTTTGTGCTCTCTTTCTCTATCTCTCTCTCTCTCTCTCTCTCTCTCTCTCTCTCTCTCTCTCTCTCTCTCTCTCTCTCTCTCTCTCTCTCTCTCTCTCTCTCTCTCTCACTTTTTATTTTCTTTTACTTTTTCTCTCTCCATCTTACTTCCCCAGGTCCTCCCCACCATTTTCGACCCTCTTTTTTGCCCATTTTCCCTCCCATATCGTAGCCCACTGCCCAGCCCTACTATCCTTTGTAAAACTGAGTTCGCGCTGAGTGACCATGGTTGACACCATTTTGCATGTTCCTTGGGCTTGCTGTACGCGATGCCGTGAAGAGAGAGAGGAGGGTCCATTTGTTGTAAGGTCCTTGTGTAAGACTCCTCTATATATGCCATTTTGAAAAGTCAGAAATGTGATGCATGGAGTCTTAACCTAAGAGCCTGGTGCTCTGGAGGAAGGAAAATGGGGGATCTTAGGCGAACATGATTTTAGCCGACGCACCTTGGGAAGAATCCATGATGGCTGATGTTTAGGTCTACAATCAGTAACATGGTCTCCCTTTACTCCAAAATGAACTGACGTGACCATTTGGTGGGTTTATAATGACTTATGGTGAGCAGAGAGTGTTCAGCCGTGATGACCAATCACAGTGGTATGAGTATGAGGCATACTATTTTCACTTATTTTGAGTCTCAAAGTCTATGCTTAGCAGTTGCTCCTCCCCTTTACCTGTCCAAAATTTATACTTTTCCATCTCTGGTCGAGTTTCCCTGCCTTTCTCGTTACGCACCGTTGCATACTGACCGCATGTGGGTCGTTGGCGGGTGCTCTGGTGTGGTTTGCTTCTTCTCTCCTGTCAAACATCTATTGTCTTTATCTCCCTTCCTTCTTTTTTGTGCTTTTTACTCTCTTGTAACTCCTCTATTCTTCAGCATCTATATGACCTTATTGTGTTGCAACTGCCATAAAACACTTACTAAAACTAAAACATTTTGACCATACCAATTAAAAAGAATTAGTCTGTCTGGCAAATTCTGGAATAGGTACCACTGCTGCAATGGTCAGGAAAGAGTTCACAGTTCAATGTGATCCTACCAAGAGCAAACTTGTAGTTGCAAGCCCTATCCTCCCAACATGTGATGTAAGTTAATGTAAGTTTAGGTGGAAAGCTCACATATTACGAGTGTGATGGTTGGGGAAAATAAATGTGTCGGCAGTTCACACCTCGGTATGATCCCATCAGGGGCAAACATTGTACCGTTTCATTGAGATTTACATCAGACATGCAATCATATTCACAAGAGTGGCTGATCTGAGATGTGACGGGCAGTTCAATTATGATCGCAAATTTTCACTCTTGGCTGATCTGTGTCCCCCCGAGTTTTTGTTCAATAAATTACTATTTGAAATACGGGATCTTAGCCTAATGTAGACTTTTGGAGTGGGATCTTAAGGAGTGACTTTTGTGTAGTAAAAATTGTGTTTTCCTAAAACATCGGGACCACAAGTCGTGGGATCTTAGGCGGAGACTGCTATGATGTACTAAATACAATAACTTCATTTCCTTTGTAAATTAATACTTTAAAAAAATATTCGATCATTTAAATCGAACTGTATTGCACGAAGCCTAATTGCGAGTAATTTCTCTTCTTTGGATTAATCAGAGGGTCTGAAATTTAAAAAATAATCGAGGGAGGGAGGGGGGGGGTGTTACAGGGGGCATGCTCCTCTGTTTTGACCCATAATTTGATGTTTTGCAGTAAGGTTTGAAATTATCTTGAAAATAGTTGATTTGCGACAGTTCTGCAGCAAAAAATACTGCAGTTTGACCCCCTAAACAGTGCATTTATGTGCAGGGGTGAAGGTAACAATTTACCTTTTTTTTTTCCAGACACGTACTTGCATGACATCTTCTCTTTTTTAATGTGTTTCTTTAACAAAATAGCCAAAGACTTCTATTTCTACTTTCGAGTTGGCAGTTACATTGTTCAACAAAAACAAACGTTTTTTTGGTCTTTAGCAGGATTGCGACACAGGCACTTGAGATACATTATACATTGTAAGCAAATCGTTATGTTAATATACCTTGTGTCTTTGGGTGGCTTGAAGAGATAAAAGTTGCTCAGAGGAACTATCTTGTTCACATTAATTATACTTTATCATCTGATTTTTTATCTTTTTGTGCAGTATGTAAGACAGTATTATGTTGATCGAAGTACAAAAGTAAATTGGAATAACTTGACGTTGCAATGAAAGCATGTTATCTTTTTATTGCAAATGAATGTAGGCCTACTTACTGGTTGATTGTTTTTTCTTAATTGGTGTGTGTGCGATGATCATGTGATGAAAGTGTGGAGTGGACTTCTGGTAACAGCTAGTACAGTCTGTGACCTTGCAGTGTGCTTGTAAGATATTTTTCGTGATTTAAGATACAAGCACATGAACTTGGATAACAGGTGATAACAGAACTTCAGCCTCATAAATGTGTTCACATGTTGATGTTCATTGATAATATAACTGTTGACACTACTGTTTTAATTTATTCTCTTGTTTCTCCAAACAATAGAATCTTCCTGACATCACTCCCTACGACCAGACTGCATTGGGTATCCTATCAAAGTGAGTGAGTGGTCTTCATCATGTCGGGATACATATCTCATAGTCCAAAAGACTTTCCTCACATAAAGTACAAAAAGGTGACCAATCAGTGTGAGCTGAATATTGACCATCAACCAAAAGCGTCTCGATGTGAGCGTGTCACTCGCAGGACAGAAAGATGTACCACTGTGCTTCTAGTCCTGTGTGCTCTAGCAGCTGTCAGTATTCCTGTGTACAAAGTTCTGTATCCGTACCTCACTACTTTCATAGAAAATGGAAAGACAAATCCAAGATCTCCACAGTGCAGTGTTGAGGAGAACAATCGTTTTGACTGTTGGCCAGAGAAAGATGGAGCCACTGAGGAAAAATGTCGTCAGCGTGGCTGCTGTTGGCAGCCGTCCTCCAAGCCTGATACAGCCCCTTACTGTTTCTTCGCCTCCAACTACAGTGGCTATAGGGTGGTTGAAATTAAGGAGTCGCCTTCAGGTATTGATGCCACCCTGCAAAGTAACACAACCTCCTTCTTCTCTAAAGACTCCATGACTCTGAAGCTGCAAGTGGAGTACCAGTCTGCAGAGAGGCTTCGCATTCAGGTAAGTAATTTGTCCTGCATCTGCAGGCGGTTTTGATAGGATGCTATTTATCTCTATACATCTGTTAGTTTGAAACAGGTTTGGTAGTGATCTTGTTGGGTACAGCTGTTATGATGTTTCCTTCATGTTCTTTTGTATTTATTTAAGATTGTCGCTGTAAACAAAATTTTTCAACTCTTTTGACAGTAAAAATTGAACCATACTCAAAACTATTGTTTTCTGTAATGCTATTGGTGATTGTACTACTATAATTTTTCAGATGTGGAAATTTGAGATGGAAGTCCACTTGGGTTGAGTTGAGCTTAGAAATATTTTCCAACTCTCTCCCTCCTTTTCACTGTTTCCATTCTTGAATGAAAAGAATTAGAATAAATCGCAGCAGAAACCACAAATGATCTTAGTATTTATTTTTTCTATTATGCTTAGATATCCTCTTAGATAGTATCGTATTTGGAATTAGTACATCAATTTTCATATGATTTAACAACCTTTGTTGCTTAGCCCTTTTCATCGTTAACCAGTGTTGAAGTGCTTATTGTGATTATGATAATTATGATGATGATGATTATTAAGTATTATCAATATTATTATAATAACTGTTATTATTACAGAGTAGACCATTTTTTTAGGCTCTACTAAAAATGATCTTTGGATAGTCGTGGCGAAGTTGCATATTAACAATATTTTTAGAAGTATTCCTGTTGTGGCTTTTATGTTCTGTAACAGTTGTACGATCCGACTGTGCAACGCTATGAAGTTCCCCTAGATGTTCCAAGTGGATCTACCTCTGGGGCCAGGCTGTATGATGTGAAAGTTTTTCAGCAACCTTTCAACATCCTAGTTACTCGCACTTCCACGGGAACTCCAGTGTGAGTGATTCACTTTTTGAAAATACTGGGTGCTAACTTTTCACTAACAACTTCACTCTTACATGAAGACAAGTTCTTCCTCTTTTTTTTCTCTTTCTCTCTCTCTTTCTCTCTCTCCCCCCTCTCTCTCTCTCTCTCTCTCTCTCTCTCTCTCTCTCTCTCTCTCTCTCTCATATGAACAAACAGATTGCAGTATTGTTGTTGTTTATGAAACAGAAAAAATATATGAAGTTTTTAGTTTTAGGCTTCCCTCTAAAATTACCAAATCTGAATTATTGCTCCCTTGAATTTAAATTGTTTTGCAAGTTGTTGGAAAGTGTGCTTAAAATTACTTCCTGATGTCAGTGTTTGCACATGCAAAAATGTTTGATTTCGGGATTCCAGACATTTTCATTTCACCATAATAACTATATTATAGTTTAATAATAATCTACCACAAGCCTGTTCTGAGGTAACGAAACTTCTAGCTTCAATGGGCCTGCCCTGTTGAAAATGCCCTTAGTTGGTGTGTCTTAGGGCATACTTGAAATAGAACAGGTTTCTGAGTTCAAATAATAACTGCTATAACCAGCCCCCAAAATAGCTGCTTTTGTATGTATAATGTGTGGATGTATTACAATTTAATGAGGTGTCCTATAACTTTCCCAGATTTGACACAAGATCGACAGCTCCATTGATTTTCAGTGATCAGTTCCTGCAGATTGGGACTAAATTTTCCTCCAAGTATGTGTATGGATTTGGAGAACATCGAAGTAATTTTCTTCAGGACCTGTCAACTTGGAGACGACTAGCTTTCTGGAACCGTGACGCCTCTCCTTATGTATGTTTCAATAGAAGTTGGAGAGTTTGATACAGCTGGGAATAAGCTTAGTTTTATTTCAGAAGATGCTGTTTGAAAGTTCTAAAGCAAATATGAACATACTTATCAAAAGCTGAAAGCATTGAGTTGTTGCTCTTCTACGTCCTTTGGAAACGAAATCAGCAAAAGTTTCCACACACTTAATTTTAAAAGCCCATGTTGTCTTCAAATAGTTATATTATAATGTGTTTGTTGGATAGGACTAATATATCATTAGCAGGAAGGTAATCATTCAGTGTGATGAAGTCTTGAACACCAATTACATTCTCCCCCTTTGCAAAGTGAATTGAAAATGGAGAAACGCTCCTAATTCAAGTAGTCCTTATATTGGCATCTGTTGTGATGGCAAGCAGATTTGAGTTTGATTCAAGAGTGAAGAATTTATTTTGTCAAATTCCTCCATCTGCTGGGATGCTGTACCAACTCTGGGTTGGTCGGTTCTGAGAGATCTGAATTGTGTGGATGGGGATGTAGAACAATTACAATTGGTTTACTCTGCAGTTTGCAAATGGCTTTTCCAGGGCTTTTTTACCTCTGTTAACGCAAAGTGACTGGGAATTAAATATTGATATCACATTAGAATAACGAATGTGGTGACAAGATTTTACTGTCTGGTGCTTTGCTGTAGCTATCTACCTACCTGTTTGGTTGTCCTTTCCAGACTGATGCAAATGGCTATGGCACTCATCCTTTTTATTTGAATATGGAGCCGACGGCTGGGCCCGGAGTGGCTGATGCCCATGGAGTCTTTCTGCTTAACAGCAACGGAGGCGGTAAGTGGCCGACTTCTTTCTTTATTCATCCTTTACTCTATTTGGGTGGGTTGATAAAGCCTCAAAATTTTTTAACACATTACACCCTAACTCGCCCGGGACCGCCCGAGAATTCCCTTATGCGCTCCACCTTGACTCGCCCGGAACCGCCCATGCCGACCCAGCGTGTTTAGAAACGAAGTCTCGCCTTGACGAGGCTCTGGGGCCAAGATTTTGATTTGCATAGTTATTGCAAAAAAGTTGCTTCTTTCGTTTGATATTGAAACAAAATTTTTCGGGCCTGTAGTTTTAGTATTAGAGCCGATAGAACTGCGATCGCGTTACCGACACTTCGTAGGTGTCTTGACTTGTTGAAAAGCGAAGCAAAAACAAACATATGACAAATCAGATGACTCAGATTTTGATGAAAACATTGTAGCAAGAGTTTGTGGCGATTCAGATTGATCAGACATAGAAAATCTAGAATTTAGATCTAGGGCCCGACCGGGAGGCTGAGAGTGAGAGTGACTGGTCGGACACCCCGATTGAACTGAAGTTAAAACATTTCCAACAGTTTGTGCATACATAAAGTTATATTTTTCTGAAACTTCAATCATTATTCTTTTTAACTTTTATTTTGTCAGGATTTTTTGAATTTGTTTAGTATTTTTAAAATGTGTTTTTTAAAGGCTTGTATTCACGGGAGGTGGGTTCTTTCCCCTTGCTTAGGATCTAACAATGGACTTCCCGTCCAGGCCCTTAGGGTGTAATGTGTTAAAGGAATGTTATCTTTTTTTTTTGGTTCAAGTTATATGCCTTATTAGACACAAACAACAAAGTTTCTTTTCAGGCATTTGTCATGGAGAGACCTGGCTCTAAAAATATGAGTAGATATGTACCTCAGTGTACAGATAAGTACTGATATGTTTAAGTGAAGAAAAAAATATTATCCAAGCAGTGTTGTTTATTTATACTGATAGTGTTATGCTTTAACTGTTCAACTAGTGGAGTATATAGGTTCACTCTTTTTTTGTTCAGAAAACCATTGCTAAGTTCACAATCTGTGACGGCTCAATAAAAATCAGGAGTCAGCATGCACTAATGTAAAAGAACTAGTGGCCTTGGGCCTTCTTTTTTGTCTACTCTCATCATTTAGATGAAGGGGAAAACATTTTTGATTGAAGTTTTGACAGTAAACAAAATACTTAGGTCACTGACTTTTATATTTAAATTTCTATGAGTTATTAATCAGATTGTGTCTGCCTTTATTGTTTTTGCTTTTTGTTCTCTTCTTATTCTGTGTATGTATCTGTACTGATTTTTCTAGTTTTGCAAATGAATGTGTGCAGGGTAGGGTCAGGTAATGTAATTGAAATGGTTTTTAAAAAAAATATATTTTCCTTATTTCATTTATTGATCAGCATAATGAGTGGTGTAAAAATGTTTGTTGAAACTTTTCAATGTGATCAATTTGGATTATATATATGAAAAAAAGTGAGAAATTGATCTATTTAATTGATGAAGAAACTAAAAAACAATTAAAAGATCAGCTTTTTATACATTTGGGCCTATGGCATTTTTGGCCATTCTTAGTGGACTGTTTCATTTTCAGCAGCGGCAGGCATGTCATGTTATTATTTCTGAAATTTCAGAAGTGGCTTTTCAGCCATTTGGTTCTGCTGGCCAGGGAGCGGTGACATACCGCATGATCGGTGGTGTCCTTGACTTTTTCGTACTGATGGGCCCTGACCCTGTCAGTGTTGTGTCTCAGTACACAGGGGTGGTTGGTCAGCCCTATCTTCCACCGTTCTGGTCTCTGGGTTTCCACCTGTGTAGGTGGGGCTACAATGCCTCTAAGACTTTGCAGCAAGTTATTCAGAGAAATCGAGATGCTAAGATGCCTTATGTAAGTGAATGACTGGTCTGTATCACGCTGCCTTGACAATGAGTGTGTTGTGCTTTCTGTGGCCCTTTCTATCTGCTTGTGTGATGTGTTTGATGACTTGTCCGATATGGGGGAAGGGAGGGTATATGAAATCATAATGGAATAAAAAATCTCTAACTTTAATAGTTTTTCTTCTGTTTTCAAGACATATTCCTCATCAGTGTGATGTGAGAGAGTTTGTACATAAGTGTAAAAAAGCATCCTGGAACGTTATTTTTGGTCAGGAATGACTGACTTCCGTACTTTGCCTAAGTGCTATGAATTGAATGTTAAGATTTGTGTTTTGTGTCTTTGGTGTCAGCTCTTGGAAGGAATAAGGTAGGACAAATGTTAGTCCACTGTCTGTGATTGGCCGTTTTAAAACAGGAATATTTTGGGAAGTTGTGGTTGAATAATGTGAGGTAAAGTTTCGTTATTATAGTGTTCATAGGTCTGGTGAACCATGGCGGTGATTTCTTTTCTTGGGAAATGGTTACTGTGCCTGTATACCAATTGCCAATTTGATGGCAGCCGTTCTGCTAAGGCTGAAAGAAATATGAGAATGAGAGTATTTGAGACCCTGAGGGGTCTGTTTGTCTACTGCAGAACTGTGGGGAAATTAGAATCGGTCAATCAATATGTGGAGCTCTCATGGTCTAGAAGTACAGTGTCCGCCTCTTATTCAATAGGTCTTGGGTTCGATACCTGACAGTGACGGAAAATTTTCTTCACTAAAAAGTTTTCTCCTTTCACCTTTCTTGTTCCCTAATCATGTTCTGTTGTCTGCTTCCTTCTCCATTTTCTACCCCCTCCCCCCTCTCTCCTCTGGGCTCATGACTGTTTCTGCTGTCTTTCTACTGCTACCCCTTGGCTCCTTTTTACTACTGTCTTTCAGCCACACCCCTGATTCTAAGGTTGTTGAGATCTAACATGTAGCCTTCTTGGTTAAGGGTGAAAAAATCAATGTGTTCTGCCCTCTCATATGACCTTATGCAGTTGCGAGCGCTATAAAACACTTACCAAAAGAAATAAAAAAATGTTTAAAAAAGGATTCCTGGAAGTGGAAGTAACAGATCCAACACTAAAAAAGAACGGTCATTAAAGACATTGAACATGTTTGGGCTTTTCTGTTTCTTATTCCATTATCAGAAGTAGCACTGCAACCTTTTGGCGGGCCTGATGGGCCTGGGGCGGTCACTTACCGTATGCTGGGCGGAGTCTTGGACTTCTTCCTGGTGTTGGGCCCAGAGCCGGAGTCAGTGGTCTCTCAGTACTCAGATGTCATTGGCAGACCATACCTCCCTCCTTTCTGGTCAATGGGCTTCCATCTGTGTCGCTATGGTTACAACGGCTCTAAAGCTTTGGCACAAGTGATCAAGAGAAACCGGGATGCTCATATGCCTTATGTATGACTCTTGTCGCATTTTTCTTTTTCTTTACTTTTTCCCCTTTTGAGAAAGTTTTGAGTGCACCACCAGAATGTCATTTTTTTTTCTTTAGGTTTTCATGCCTGCCTGTCTCGCTTTTTTCCCTGCTCAAAATGACCATTCTTCTCTTTACTCAAATTTTAAAAAAGAGCTGACCTTTTGCTTGAGTATCCTAGCTTCTTTCTTTGTAAGTGTATAGGACAGGAAACTATCTTGTCCATTCATTGTCCTTATGATAAGACTTGCTAATCTCAGTGGTTGGAGTTTTACTGGAGAAACCATAAACTTTGGTTTCATCATGTGGCTGGTGACTTGTTCAGCTATGAAGTGTTAACAGCATTTGTAGTAAAAATGCAGACCTATCTTTGACGGAACTTTACAAAATGGATAATCTGCTTTCGATTCGTCAAATTAAAAAAAAAATCATCTTTTGTGGGTTAACCGGTTTTATCACAAGGGCGATGAATTATATTTTCTTTGTTTTAATTCTTCTCAGTGCTTTGCTTTATTATATTTCCCTCTTTACAGATACTTGTTTAGTATTTTTGTTTTAGCTTATGTAAAAAGTCATGGTAATCAAACTGGGTAGCTTAACTAGTGTTTCAGTTTTACTGATTTTGATCCTGATTCTGAGGAGAGACCAGAACACGGGTTTGGGGTACAGTTAGATCTGGGGTCAGGGGTGGATCAGTTTTAAGGCCAGGGGGACTTTGTGTTTGCAAGAAAAGGGATGGGTGTGATTCAAAGGGTTGGTTATTAGATTCCAAATTGTTCAAGCTGCAAAGTATAACTATGTGTATACTAAGGGGGGGAGGTGTCTCTTTTTACTGATTGAAGTTCGTACATTCCAAGTGGATGAAATACGGGCACTCTGATGTGATTTGATCTTTCTTTCCTGTCAAAATTCAATCATCTTTATCTCTTCTCCTTCTTTCTTTGCATGTTACTCTCTAGTTATCCGTCTGATCTTTGGCATATAATATGTTACCTATTTCTGTTGCAAGTGCTGTAAACTAAAACGCTAATCTTTTTGTAAGTTGTTTTTTATTTTTTAAGAAACTGTTCTATCTGCTCTAATAGCCACCTGTATAAGACAATACCTGCATAAACAGCTACTTTCCCCCTTTGTGTTTTATTATATTATAATGACCCTGTGTAAGACATCCACCTTTCCAAGGCAATCACTTTTCTCCCTGTCAATGGATTGCTGTCTTAGACAGTTTTGACTGTATTGCCAAGTCTCCTAAAAATTTTAAGGAAGGATGACTAAAAGAATGGCAACACTTTCACATACACATTCTGTACATGTAGTCATTTGATACAGCAGTGTCTGGACCAACAAATGAGTCATTATTGCAGGGTCTTAATAAAAAGACCTAATTGTATTGCAAATGCTGTGAAAATGCATACTTAAAAAAGAGAGTTAGTTCATTATATTATCTATGAGCAGTTTGCACTACTATGAGCATGCAGCACGAATTATAAATGTACACTTGTGAAATCTGAATTAATTTCTTTTCTCTGGAATATTTTGCAGCTTACAAGCTCTGCATCTTGACTAGAATATATTTGAGAATAAATACATATTATGAAACTTGTTTCATCATTTTTCTCTCGAATATTTGAAGCATCAATCTTGACCATATTTTTTCAGGATGTCCAGTGGAATGACATTGACTACATGGCTAACCACCTGGACTGGACCTATGACCCTGTGCACTACAACACTCTCCCGGCCATTGTCAAAGACTTGCATGACAATAACCAGAGATATATTATCATGGCGGTGAGAGTTTACTGTTGGTACTGGGTTTTTTAAAGACTGTTAAACTATCTGTATGAATGAATGACACCTGTAGATGTCCTCTTGTAAGGGTTGTGTGTCTTTTCTAAGTAGAAAAGTATTTTATTGATATACAAGAAGTCTGTGATTCAGTCTGTGTTGGTCCTTTAGTAAATTTGTTAGGAGGGTTATTCAAGTCTACCTATCTTTCTCAAAATCTTTTGGCCACTGCTAACAGCTCATAATTCTTTTAATTATCCTTGGAATCATTGTGTAGTAACGCAAATTCTGTGACTTTTCTTTGAAGGTTTTTCCTAATCTTTTGAAGCATCTTTGCTGTCATCAGTATGGTGAGAATGTGGTGTTTTATAAAGCTGTCACAAACACCTACACTCATCTACACCTTGTTCCCCTCATTGCACCTACACCTTGTGACATCTTTTGTTTCTCTTTTTCAGGATCCTGCCATATCTAGCTCACAACCGGCTGGAACATACCCTCCATTTGATGATGGAAAGGAGCTGGATGTGTTTGTGAAAAACAGCAGTGGAGAGATACTCATTGGGAGAGTACGTTTCATTGGAGTTTTTCATTTGAATTTAACCCCCCAACTCAACTTGGACTTAGTTATTCCAAAATTAAGGGATTCGTTTCTCTGACAAGCATCCAGGCTACGAAAAGATTTTTTTTTTCTTCAAGTAAAAAAATGTTGATCTTTAATTGACTTGAACTTTGCAATGTTGTTTCATACTCATTCCATGAATATTGTTTTACTACTTTACATTTGAGCTTAATTTCTTTGGGTTCATTACAATATTTTGATATTGCAGGTATGGCCAGGATTGACAGCATTCCCTGATTTCTTTCACCCCAACGCGTACACATACTGGCTGAAGCAGGCAACAGGTTTTCACAGCAAAATCCCTTTTGATGGCTTGTGGATTGTAAGTTTGTAATGGTATTGTTTTTTAGTTTTTTATTTGTGGGATAGGTTGAAGGTTAAACTTTGTCAGGAAAGAAAAGTTTCATATAATGTGCTGTTAGATGCTATTTTTGTTTCCTTCATTTATTTCTACTAGTTGTCCTTTTTTAAAATTCTTTTTTAAGATTGGTGGATGCTGTTGTGTGAACTGCTTCTTCCTCTTTCTGGGGACACTAATGTCATTATCTGCTTTCTTACAGAATGTAGATTTTATTATACTGACCAACCGTAAATTCCTGCTCACTTTCTTAATCGATCTCCTTTCAGTAATGTATTATTTCCTGCCATGTTTTCCTTGTAATCTTTGTGCTAGCGATGTAGATAACCAATTGGAAACTTTATCTGAGATGTAGAGATTATGACTGGTTGCTTATTATTGCTTTGCTTCTCTTTGCGCAGGACATGAATGAACCCTCCAGCTTTATTGAAGGTTCAACACAAGGATGTCCAGGGAACCTGTTTGATCACCCTCCCTTTTTGCCTCCAAGTGAGTGATCTACCTGATGTGATCAGTGTTCTCATGTATGTTCAAACATATATGTGCAAGTACGTCTCACTTACAACAACTGATGTACATATAGATGGGTGTCAGTAGTCTAGTGGTTTCGCTACTAGACTCATAATCATGAAGTTGTTTGTTCAAAGGTTCTAGGCTCAGGCCCGATGTTGTGTGATTGGGAAAGGCATGTTTTCCTCACTTCAATCAAGTGTTAATAGGTACCCAGCCATAGACAGTGAAAGACTCTGTCAGTTTGTTAGTGTTTTAACGTCTGTAAAATAGCAGCTTTCACTGTATGCTTCCTAAGAAGTTGGGTTTGTTTTATAAAGATATCAGGTCTGCTGTGGTAATAATGTAGATTGTAAAATGCCTAGAGCTTTCTTTTAGGTGACAATTTGCTCTATACAAATGCTATTTATTATTATTATTTAGTGTTGTCTGCTTATATGCTCTTTTGCTCAAGTGCATGTGCTATTGGGCGCAAGTGCACACAATTGATTGATATCTTATTTTTGTTCTGTGTTTTTCAACTTCTGTTCTTGCTCAGGCGTAATGGACAAATCTCTCATCTCCAAAACCATCTGCCCATCTGCCAAGCAGTCTGTCTCGGAGCATTACAACGTACACAATATGTATGGCTGGTCTCAAGCCAATGTCTCTCGGCGGTAAGTTAACGGTCTCCAAACTTTTGTACAGCATTTTGAATCTGTTTCTTGGCAATAGTTTTGTCTTCTTTTTGGTAATATTTCTGCTCTGTCTGTTGTGCTATTGGGATTCATAATATGAAGTGATAAGTGCCACTTCTTTGAAATTACTTTTTTCTTTGTGTTGTGTCAACTGCCAGAGAGAGAGAGAGAGGGAGGGAGGGAGGGAGGTGTTTTGACTACACTGTTGTAGTTTGATAGTGGTTGCTCTGGGAGTGTGCTCCTTCTGCTTATTTTAAGAGATATCATGATCCTAATCCTTTTTTATTGAAATACTTTATTGTCATATTTCTGACTTGCCGTAATATTCTACTCAACTGGGGGTGTTTATGTCTTTTTTTTCCCCTTTGTTGTTTCTGTCTGTCTGTCTGTCTGTCTGTCTGTCTGTCTGTCTTACTCTTTCCTCTAAGTGATAATTATTGTGTGGAAGTGCTTCTCTTTACTCAGTCTCAAATTTGACTCAACTGGTCTTCCCTTTCAGAGTCTTAAACACCCTGTTTGAAGGGAAGCGTGCCCCGCTCATCACCCGCTCCTCGTACGCTGGATCTGGGAAGTTCACTGGTCACTGGCTGGGTGACAATCATTCTGGGTTTGATGAAATGGCTTTTTCCATCCCAGGTGAGGGCAGATTTAGGTTTTTTCTGGGATATTCTACTGATAATAAAAAATAGTTAAAATAACAACAAGAAAAGACAACCTCCCCCCTCGCCTTAAAAAACAAAACAATAAAAATCAGTAAAACACCTGAATTATAAGGAACAGTGGTGAAAATACGTGGTTTGAATAAAACATTTGTGGTGTTATTGAAAAGTGTTCTCATTTACTTCTTGTGCTATTTTGTTTGTACAATGTTGCTCTAAGAATTGTTTTTGGGATGTGTATAAATTTTGTTTTTCTCTCTTTCCCTATTTCAGGAATATTGAACTTCAACCTGTTTGGTATCCCTCAAATTGGCGCGGATATCTGCGGCTTTATAGGGGCCACAGATGGAGAGTTGTGTGTGCGCTGGCACCAGCTGGGAGCTTTCTACACCTTCATGAGGAACCACAATGACTTAAACTCTCCTGTACGTTGAGCAGTTTTGTTTTTCGTGTTATTCATTGTTATCATCATCAAGTGCCATACTTGAAACGATCATCAGTGACCATAGTTCGCCACCCATTAAGCTGGTTGAATGATCTCATAAATCTTTTATTATACTTCTACTGGTCCTTCCTCATGGCCCATATGCTTAAGTTCTCTTAGTTTTTTATACTTGTTCCACCCCTGCATCTTTTGCTTTCTATTTTTTCAGGTTCAGCTTTTGTCTCTTCCTAATTTATATATAAGTGAGCGATCCACATGGACACAAATGTTTTTACTGCCTTTTTATATAAATATGTGTTCTTCATGCACTCTCTTTGGTGTGTCATATCCTACAATTGCCATTCTTTCTTGATGTGGTTCAGGCACTTGTGAATATTAGCACAATGATGGCACAATTTGTTACGATGGGTAATCTCAAACCTATTGGGTGGTTGGCGGGTTATCTGGTGGGGCTTGCTCCTTCTTTCTGATCAAATATCTATCGTCCTTATCTCTCCTCCTCCTTTTTTGTGTATGTTACTCTCTTGTAACACATCTATTCTTCGGCACTTATATGACTTTTTTGTGTTGCAAGTGCCGTGAAACTCTTACTAAAACTAAATCTCAAACATAGGTTTTGCTGTATCCAATGTTTAAGACACATGGCTTACGTCATGTGCAAAAGGCTTCAGTGATGAGAATGAAGCCACTTGGTTTTTAAAATTTTTTTTATTAGGTAGTTACAGATTGTGGCATCAAACCTAAGAGAAGGGCTAATAAAATGGCTAATTTGACATTTATCAATGTCGTAACCAAATGAGGAGTGAAACAGCATGTGTTGATTCCTTTTAGAAAAACAACATTACTGCTTTTTTCCTGTGTCCGTCCCTCCTTACTTTCTGTTTAGTTTTGTAATTGTGCTATTTATAAATCAGCCTATTTCTGGGGGGGGGGGGGGGGTTGTATAAAGTGCTTAATGTCTTTAGTGTCTGACTGTATGTGGCTGTAAATGTGTGTGTGCCTAAAGAAAGGTACCAAAAGTCGCCACAGACCATTTTGAGCTACAGGCTGATAATGACAAAAAATCACTTTTTTGACCAAAATGTGTTTCTATGAAAATATGATAAGTCCACCATTTTTTAGCAATGTGTTAAAAGAGTTTTTTTTTTTATTGATTTGACTTCTAAATGTTTTATTTTGAGGGTAGGGTATATTTTAAATAGTTAATGAAAACTGCTTTTAAAAGGAGTTAAATCTATTCTTGAAGCACGTTTTTCTCTTCCCCGCTATGTTGTACCATTGAATTCTATTCATGTTATAGATGTCAACTAAATGGCAAATTGGAAATGAATTTTCTGTGAATAGATACATTAGAAACATTTGAATCCTTGGGTTTTTTTAAAGTTTGTATGTGTTCTATACTTAAAAGCTAATTTTTTCAAAATTAGTTCTTTATACCCTACCTCGCAAAATCTCAAAAACTACTTGAGATATCTCAAAAATTCACAAACCACTGTGTTCAGCATTGAATGTCCTATTAGGTACAAACCTTAACTCAAAATGGTTAATATCCGACTTTTGGTACCTTTCTTTAGGCTCACATACAAATTTTCAGTAAAATACAGAATACTGCATGCTACACAGACTTTGAAGATGTTGATTAATTTTACTGTCTCTGCTGTCTTCAGCTGCTCTTGTGATTCATGAAGTAAATCAGCTTACATTTTTGTACATTATTGTTACATAGTAATTTTCTTCATGTGTGAGCACGGTATACTTTCACTTCTATTTTGTTTTTCCCTACTGTTACCCAAGGACTGAATGCTTGCTCCTCTTTTGAAATGACATATTCGTGTCTTGTTCAGTCTAAATGATCCCATAATATGTCAAGCTTTAAGTTTTTGAATGCTGAAAAGTAATGAGTGCTTGTCTCTTTATTTTCCTTTAGGACCAAGACCCTGCTGTCTTCCCCTCACCCTACAAGGATTACATCCGACTTGCCTTGCAGCTACGTTACCGCCTCCTGGCCGTCCTCTACAACTACTTCTTTGAGGCTCACATGCTGGGCAAACCCATCATTCGGCCCCTGTTCTACGTGTAAGTTCAGTATTTATTTGGAAGCTTATTTTATCACAAAGATGAAGCCACAGTGCTTACATATAGAAGCTAATGCTCACCAGTGGAAGAATTATTTGTGTTTGTTCCTAATGAAAGGTATCGTATAACGTATTTTGAGTAATTACATTTTACTGCTTTTGAGTCTTTGCCTCCTCAATGTCTAACTTTAGCCAACCCTGTAAAATACTTTCTTTTGTCTTTATGTTCCAGCTATCCTGGCACAGAGCAGATTGATGCACAGTTCATGTGGGGACAGGATCTTCTCATTTCACCAGTTCTTCAACAGGTTTGGAGTTTTTAAATTTCTTGATTTATAGTACCATTCTATTGTGCTGTCCCGTGTAGTCTTAAATCATCTTTTTTTTGTCCAAAAACTTAGGGGTAATTGGACGATTGTGTAGAATTTATTTGGGTTATGAGAAGGAAAGATTAAAAAGCTTGACTTACATTGTACCAATAATTATTCGTGCCCAGTATTTTAAAGCATGGAACAAACAACATACGTCTTTAAAACTCAATGGTGCTGATGTATGTAAAAAAATCCTTGTGTTACAAAGTCTAATTGTGGGATGATCTGTTGTCAGCTGTGCTTTGATTTTGTTAGGGCATTGAAGAATTGACTGTATTTCTTTTCTATTGATTCTCTAATGTTTAGATATGTTGGTTTAAAGTGTTTATGAAGTTATTGACTTGAGTCAATTGTTGCCAAGTCAAAATCTTTTACAATTTATTTTACTGACATTTTCAAAGATTAGTGTGGAGCTGGTATGGCAGAGTAAGGAATCTTGTCATGTGTTAATATCTACAAACTGTTTCTAGCATAGTACTCAAGAGCAGTGAACATATGTAACTAGATAAGAACGTTTAGTGCAATACAGTTATTACAGTTTTTATTTTTGGCATGTTTTTGCAAGCAATATTTGTTTCTTGAATGGTCCTTATGGGGCTGCACTGTTGCACTACTAAAAATTGTACTGTCAGTAATTCAGTTAAGATTCTATTTGGCAGTGCATAAGTAGGTCTGTAGAAATGGATTGATATGCAGAAAAAGATTTTTTAATTTGTTAACACAGAAACCTACAGCGAACATGCACCATTAAAAAGTTGTTCATATACTTAAAGGTGTCTGAGCCAAAAGGGAAATTGGATACAGACACTTATGAAAATAAAATGTTGCTGTTGATATGACGACTACCTTGTTTTGTTGCTCACACTGTAGGGGTAAAACAGACCTACTTTTTTTTCCCTTTTTCAACAGCGATAAAATTATACCTCTGTACAAATGAGGCTAAATTACTCAAAAGTAACTTAAAATCTACCTCACTGGTAAGACTACGCCAAACATTTCATGATGCTTTTCAAAAGCAGTCTGGTAGGTGTATATTGCAGTGTATAGTGGGTTTTTTATTTTTACTCTTAATGCTTCCCATAAAGCTAGAATTGTTTTGGAATGATACAGGATCACTTGGGATTATGATACATAATAAAATGCATAGAGCTCACTTTTGAGAAAAGATATGGGCTGTAGAAATGGTTGTTTTTATTATAATAATAATAATAATAATTATTATTATTGTATTTAGTATCATTATTATAAATGTAATTGTGTGTTTGTACATGAAACTCCTGATCCAGTTTTGTGAGGCACTCTAAGTCCTCAGGTAAGGTTGACTTTTCTCTGTGCAGAATGCAAGAACTGTGAAGGCATACATCCCAAAAGATACCTGGTTCGATTTCTACACTGGAGCACCTCTTGAAACAGTCAGTCAGTGGGTGGATCTGGATGCTCCTCTGGATCATATCAACGTGCATGTTCGTGGGGGCTCCATCCTGCCTCTGTTACCAGCAACAGAACGCTCAGATTTATCGTAAGTAGAAGAAGTTTAGAACTTCTGATTTGTAGTGAGTCAAAATTGGATTTACCTTTAGGTATTGTTAGCTGAGTTAGTGTCACGTTGGACTTTGGTATTGATGACTTTGGATGGTAAATCAGAGGTCTCTACATGCTTTTAATATACTTGCAAAGTTGAAAGGGAAGTTTAGCCCTTGAGATATTGATAGTAACCACTTGTAGTGTGGAGGTGTTTTCAAGACTATTTTTGGGCCCTAGCAAATGTTAGAAGTAGAATTATTAAAGATAGACCTATAAACCTATACATTTTCTGAAATTACAATGAACCAAATTTTGATGTAATAGTTGTTTAAAAGTCTTTAGTTGGATGCATCTTATTCTCTTTTCCTGACAGTCGCAAAGAGAAGTTCCAGCTGCTGGTTGCTCAAAACTCCTCCAAGACTGCCTTTGGGCAGCTTTACTGGGATGACGGTGAAAGTCAAGGCAAGTTTTTTTTGTTATGTATTCCGAACTTTACTATCCATAGGTAATTTTTAGCTGTTCTGTAAACCTCTCTCAAATAAACCTATACGTGCTGAAAAGGAAGTATAATGTCTGTTAAATCAGAGACACAATTAGTATTATCTTCAGAGGAAATTAAACATGTTTTCACCGATTTTTATTTACAGTGGATCCTAGCTGTCTTGCTTTTTAAGTTCTTGGCATTTTTTAATGTAGACAAACCAAATTAGTTACGTGGGTCATCACTATAGAATGAAAAATCCTAAATGTTTGTTTCGTATCCATTTCCCATATTGTAGGTCCCTGGCACTTTCCATTGATATCAATGCAGGAAATCACTTTTTTTTCTGGCTTACAGACATATATGCAGACCTTCAGACTGAGAAGTAGACGACGCATGGTTCAAATGTTCACACTCACACATTCACACGTAGAGCTGAAATTTGTACACCCGCACATATATATATATGTATATTCAGGGCTCTAATATTTACTCTTACATATTTTCCTGTTACGACATACACTAAAGAGGCTCTTGCATTATTATTAGTCTCTTTGCTGTTGTAATGTAGCCCATTACGTGATTTCTTTTCTATGTCCTTTGTTTTCCAGATAGCATATCAGCAAAGAAGTACTCCCACATTTCCTTCTTGGCCTCTGACGTATGTACATTTTTCCTTTTTTAAAAATTTGTTACTTTTGATTATTTGTTTAGTTAATTTCTGGGTTGTTTTTTTTTACATAAACTAGCGTATAATGTATAGCGGGCAGAAGCTTCTTCATCGCTTATTGAAGACAGGAGTTTGATTCTCATGTGGGAAGACTTTTTTCTAGTAATTCAATCTGTCGTCTGGGACATTGTATCTCGCTTAGTCTGTGTTGTCTTTGATAGGCAAGGTCTTAGTTGTTCTATTCTAAAGGTAAAGTTGAATCTTATAAAGTCAATAAAATGCATAGAGCTTGCTGTTGAGCGTTTATTATTTTAAAAAATGTAATGACAGCAAGATAGTCGTCAATCAGTCGCAACTGTAGTTTAAGTTAAACGTTACATGATGTTCTAAGTCTTTAGCTCTAGGTTGTGGGCAACTCATAACTAGATAAAATGCCATTGTGCAAATAATAATAATATGTCTCATGCAGCATTTGTTTTGCTATAAATGACGATGCTTGAAATTTCTCATGATGTCTTTTTCACAGAATGGAGTACAAAGCCAGATCCTTGAGTCAGGGTACAGGCCACAAGGTGGCATTCGTCTAGGCCAGGTCACTGTTCTGGGGCTACAGTCTTCTCCCTCCAACGTGACCGTCAATGGGAAGGAGAGTCAGTTCTCTTACTTTCCTGACACAAAAGTAGGATATTATGTCACTTTCTTACTTATTGTGTTTTGTGTTTGTACTTTTATGATGAATAGGCTGGACATAATGCTATGTGCTTGTGTATTACTTGAATATGAATATGTGAAGCAAATATATAAAAGGAGTCTCTTGTCTCAGTTTGACAATATAATACTCTTGGTATACAATTAAGGATTTTATCAAAGCCCTATGCCACAAGTAGGTGAAAGCTTTATCATTAGTCTAGCTGCTTAGGTTTCAAAGTTATAATTATTTAGAATTAGGGAAATTATACACAGTTTTGGAGAAAAATTAAGGTTTTGCTCTTTTCTATCTTGAAACAGCTGAGTGTGGCAAGTGACTCATTTTGTCCAGCTACTACACATACTATGTTCTAATACTCTTTGAAAAGCTTATGTAGAATGTTTGTTACTTCCTCACCTGTTGGTGTGCTATAGCGTGGGTCTATGTGTGAGAGAAGAAAGTGGATGAGAGGTGCAGGTAAAATAATGATCGAAAATGTTTTAATGTGATGAACCTCACAGTCAGACTATGATTGTGTGCATGAATTACTGGGGGATGATCTGCCATCTCTACTTGAATGTACTTCTTGAAGATTACTTTCTTTCTTAGGATTTAATTGTCTTTTACTTTTACTGCGCTAATACAGAAATGCTAGTTGTATATGGCTCGCTGTAAGTTCAGTTGACAGCCATAACGCTGGAGTGTTATGGGGGTGACCTGGTTCTGGTCCCCAAATTAGGGTAACTGGATCTTGTTTGTTTGAAGAGTTTTCATTGCTTCTCAGGAGATCTCGTGGCTTCTCACCATTTGCTTAGCCAACTTGGGGATGGACGTCAAATCCTCACAGACCTGAAAACATGGATGTTTTACCTATGCCTTACCTTACTCAAAAAATTATACATAGTGACCCTAAATTTAAAAATGCACAAGTCAAAAGGATCTTAAGATGTGGGTATGGCTCCTTAAAAGGGTGGCGGGAAGTCTACTGTTTATACAGGAATGCCATGTGTCTGAACTGAACCACAGAAAAGTTCCATTTTCTCAAGAAATGGAATGAGGACATTAAATTAATTTTCCTCTCTCTCCCCTCCCCCATTAACACAAAAATTGAATCTTCGTTGCCTTCACCTCCATTATTGACCATGATGACTGCTTTACTTTTACCCTCAGAAACTTGTCGTGAACAATCTGAATGAGGACCTGCTTGAACGTCTTGACATGTCTTGGCTGTAGGAGACAGTCCTACTAAACCAAAGGCCAAGTTAATGGATCAAAGAAATGGACTGAAATGGGTTTTTTCTTGTCTCTTTTTAAACTTTGTCTTTGACAGGTTTTTGTTAATCAGCATTTGTCTTATCAGTTCAAGGATGATTTTTTTTTTGCGTTCTTATTTTTTATACATATAACTTTTTTCTATTTGTGTCCTTTTCCCTCCAGGGAAGCATCGGGTTGTTTAAGGAATTCCTTCTGTGGTAGTGTAATGGCCCAGGTAAACTTTGCACATGATTCAAAGGCAATGCTATGATTTGTTTAAGAATAAAAAATATGTAATAATGTAGCTGTATTTACATAATGGTACTTAAACTTTGTTTGGTCTTGAAATGAAATGTGTATTGTCTTTTTACTGCTGTCTACAAAAGTATTCATTATCGTAGGTAAAACTGAGGTATGATTCCAGTATTTGCTGTTTTCTGCCTGTTTCTGCCAGCATATTGAGATAGTTTGTGGAATATAGATGACATCTTGAAGCGGATATAACTTTTTAAAAAGAAATAAGATGAAGTTTTCACAAGTTGGAGATTGGAGGATCACAGTATTATTTTCTGCAGATATGACTTGTAGATGCCATCTTTTTTAGCTTTTCTAGTTTTGGTTTGGTTTTTTATTCTCCTTTAATTTTTTTCCTGTAATTTTCTCTTAGTCAATTATAATTATAGCCCTGAAACTTTATGAGTTTCTCATAATAACATTCCTAATAGCTCTTTCATTTTCATGAATTATTCTGTACAAGTGTGTTTTTGGCTTGTTTTCTGTACAATTGTTTTAAATCTTTTTTGCTTGTGAAATGTCAGTTTTGTACCTGGACTGATTTTGTACGTCACTAGCTTTACTGATACCCAAGTAATTTCTTATTATGCAAGAGATTTTTAATGGTGTCAGACTAAAATAAAATGTTTTAGTACTGTAATTTGTCTATAGCAGGAGAACAGACATCTTTGCTGTGTATGAACATTTTGAAAATGTTTGTTGTTGAGAGATTTTGGATTTGAGATTAATACTTGTTTGGTTGGGTTTTTTTAGCTGTTTAGAGAGCTGTAAAGAGTGTTATGTTTACTTGGTAAAAGATTTAAGTATCTGTTCACTGTGTGTGTTTAAGAAAAGAAAAGTAAGCTTGGGCTTATTTCATGCTTGTCCAGTGGAGGGATTTTTACCTTGATCAGCTGAGTCAAATTTCATGACATGCTTTTACAGTACATTTGTTTGGAGGACAGGGGAGTGTATGAACATGACTGACTTTTGTGTTCTTGTATCATTTTTATTCAAATCAGCTGGCATGGATCTCTCAGAGTCAAAAACACTAATAAAATATGCCTTAAGAAACAGATGGAAAATGTCACGCCCTAAACATAACAGACATGACCCCTACTACTTGCTAAATACAGCAGACCAGGTCACAATCTTTACACTCTGTTGTGGTCTCAACAGACTCAAACACTATATGCACACTAAATTAAAAGTGGGAGGGTCAGCGATCTGTGAATGTGGACATGACCAAGAGGATGCCAACCATATCTTTCAGCACTGCCCGCGCTACGCCACCCTTCGTACACAGACGTGGCAGAATGCGGCTCCCTGTGAGAGAAAGCTCTATGGCAGTCTGTCAGAGTTGAAGCGAACTGCACAGTTTGTGCGCAACATCGGACTGACTGTCTAGCTGCTGTCATCGAGAACGAGGAAGAAGAAGAAATACAAATCAGCTGAGAGTTTTAAGTATAATCCCTTTTGCAGAATACAGTGGAAACCATATATAACAGGCCCGGTAATAACAGGGATCCGGTAATAACAGGGATTTTAAAAATCCCCGTTTTTTCCTACTCTTTGTCTCTATTAAAAGTTATCGGCAATAACAGGGCCTAATCGGAGCCCAACCGGGTATAGCAAGGACAAAGGCTCGTTAACAATGAGTAAAAAGTAAGAGAGAGAGAGAGAGTTACGCAGTGATGGAGCAAGCCCACGCAAGCCATGCTACTGCAAGCACACGCAGCTTGTGAAGCGAGAGAGTGCTGCGGTGTGCTGCAGACCTCGATCTAGCCCGAAACCTAGCAACACGCACGCGTAATGTGTCACCAACGATGTCAAGCGGAAGAGAAAATGCCTTTCCAATTGACAAAAAATACGAAATAATCCAGGCAGTTGACAAAAAGCAAGCTCCACTGGCAGAGATTTGTAGTCAGTTCAACATTCCAAAAGGGTCGATTCACATCATTATCAGGGATAGAGAGAAGATAGTGGCAGCAAACTCCAATGCAAAGTTTGCTCTGGATCGAAGAAGATGAGACTACCCGATGCAGATGCTGTGGACCAAGCTCTTCCGATGTGGTTTAAGGAGGCAAGGAGAAAGTTGGTGCCAAAACCCCAGTTCGTGGGTACTTGTGGCAAGGGCAACTACTCATGAATAAGTAAAGCAGGATTAGTCCACAAATGCTTACTTTCCTTGCATTTCTGATTTAACAGGGATCGGATATAACAGGATATTTTCTCTACTCCCACCATCCCTGTTATATCAGGTTTCCACTGTATTTATATATGAAGAAATGTGTGCCATTTTTTATAATAAACATTGCAGCTTATTCTAGTTCTTGAGCTATGTGTTGATATCTTATTATTTTCATTATGCCAATTAATGTGCGATGATTTACACTTGGCTTTCGACTAGAAGTAGATTTTATTTCCTGGAATCTTTTTATTATGTTGTTATCCTTCACAGCTTTTCATCAAGGATGATTAATGCTTATCTTCCTGTATCAAATTTTTGTTTATTTTCATGGATTTTTAGTTCTTGCTTATTCCTATTGTTTCTGCCAACAGCTATGCTTTTAATTCTTCTTTGCTGCTATTTATGGATATGTTTGTTGCATATATTCCTGTCTCTGTGTATCAATAAGTGGTTTTTACCTATACAACGTTGTTTTTCTTTCTTTGATCGTTGGACCTACTTATGATTAGAGTTAGAGGCAGTTAAATGTGTCACAACACAGTGGAATCAGGAACCTGTCAAGTTTCTGGGCATATTGTGTTATTGGTATCATCTGAAAGCCTGTTTATTTATCTTGCTTTCGATGAAAAAAGTACTCATTTATCTTGAATAAAAGTTGAGATATTTGCATTTGAAGGAGGTGGGGTCACCTGGTTTCAGGGGTCAAATTTTTTTTTTAATGGCCGCCAAATGTTTATGATTTCCAAAGCTTAAGAGTCCTTGGAAACTACAAAATTTACATTTTTGGGGTTTTTAATCAACATTTTTCTGTTAAGTCTGCCTAGAAATGTGATTTCGAATGGTTTTAAAAGGTGTTGAGCCAAAAAATGGAAATTTGATAAAAATTGCCATATATCGGTGGGAATATGCTCCTTACCCCGGTTTCATTATTTTGAAAAGTGTCTGATTTCACCACAATGCCTCACAAATTTTCTTTTTTAGTTTATTTTTCTTTGATATCTAGATGAACTATTATTCCACATGATTGTTTTTTTAACATTAATGTCATTGAAAATAGTGCTTTCAAATATTCTAGCTAGTCTAAAGATGGTTTTGCTGATGTATCCAGGTTGTACTTCCATTCATCCGATTTGGTTATCACTTTTTTAAACTGAGAATTCTTCAAGCCAAAGATATTATTATGAATACTTGTCTATTTCCAATGGATATAGAGCATCTATAGAATGTCATTTCATTCTTTAGTTTTTTAGCTTGAACTAAGATTGACAATTTTACCTTAATAAATAACTTTTACCATGAGCATTTCACTAATGACAGGATATGAAGGCACTGATGACAGCTGACTTTATATATGAATATTACAGATAATATATAAAATATACAATTATGTTGTACAGTGGTAGGACAATATTTTGCTTTCCATCCTCTTGGCTTGGACCTATCAGAGGCTCTGGAGTAGCCTTGCTGTGTTCAATAAGGTGTTGAAGGGGTTCTCTATTGTACTGTAAACATTTTTAAGTGATGAATTTTCATTTTGAGCCAGGAGTATTTTTTTTCTCACTGTTAGACAAATGCTACAACTGTTCACTGTTCCTGCAATGACTCGAACTTGCAAGATTATGATATATGAGCACAGTGGGAAAAATAATCTGATTCTTCAAGAGTTTTACACCTGGAGTCTTTCATACCGTTGCTGTCCCGGCATAATGTGTGGTTGTTTGTTGTGTGTTCCCAAATAAAGCTAATGCACCCTTAAACGTGTTTACCCAAAACGACTTTATGAATGAATGAGCTGCACTTTTATTAATTTGTCACTGTTGAAGTCTCACAGCTTAATAGCTTTTAACTTTTGTATTACTTTTATCATCCACTACTCCCCCACTCCTTTCTCTGTCAGTCTCTCTCACTCTCTCCCTCCCTCCCTCCCTCTCTCCTGTCTCTCTCTCTCTCTCTCTCTCTCTCTCTCTCTCTCTCTCTCTCTCTCTGTCTCTCTCTCCGGGGCACTGGTACTTCTTTGATTTTGTTACTGAACGTCAGATTGCTCTTGATTCTTAATCCTATTATTTGTCCTAATGAGTGCTTTGACAAGTCACATCCATAAAAATACATTGTATAAGCTCAGAGTCTGAGATTTGAACATGTTTAGTCTCGTGCATATTTAAGTTAATGTTACTAGTGAAGTGGAAAACGTTTTTAGGTTCATACTCAAGGCAGAAAGGGAAAAAAATACTGGATGATTTTTGAGAACTTTGAAGTTGAAATGAACAGTTATTATAGAATCTAAAGTCTTCCTAATTATGATGATACAATAGAGTTGGGTTTAAAACTACACTTATTTTCAATTCTTGCGTTTCTGTTGGAAATGCTCACCTCTTTTGGATGGTAATAGATTTACCTTACATTACTAGAAAGGAATCTGCCACCTTTCCCGTCCCATCTCTCTGCCTATATATCAGAATGATGAATAGAAACAGGAAGACGTTTTTTCTTTTTTTTCATTTTTTTTTTTTAGAAACAGAATGACCTATCTCCACAAGAAATCCAGTCAGCCGGAAGTATCCGTCTGTCTGTACTATCTGTCTATTATTGATTCACCTGACTTATCTCTTTATCAACATATCCCTATAGATCTGTCAATCTATGATTGCATGTGCCGATGAAACAGAGGTGTATGGTGTATGTCAGCTCTTCATGAGTTCTGCAGAGTGGTGTGAAAAGGAGGTGGGGAGATAGAGATGCAATGCTATGCGAATGCCTCTGTAATATTTTGACAACATTGCAATAAAATGCGTTGTACCGATGCGTCTTTACCTGTGCAAACGCACTCATTAGCGGTGCTGCTGTCATTACAAGGGAAGAAAAAGCGTTTGTTTCTCCAGAATAATTAGCCCAGAGATGGGCACGGGTAGGCCAGTGAGAAATTTTAGAAATACAACCAGTTGCCATAAATCTGATAGTAATTAGAAGGGGTTTCTGTTGTGGGGAAGGAAGACAAAGGCAAAACAAAATACCCCCCAACAAAAAAAAACGAACAAAAAATTAAAATATTGCACATGCATCAGAATTAGAAAGCAAACAAAAGCAGTAAAAAAAATTATACTCTCGCTTTGTTTATCTTTTTTTTTTTTTACGAGTCCGAAATACGAAGATATTTGGGTACTAAGGACACCCATGTCGTTGAACGTTGACGTTGCACGTTGGACGTTGACGTTGCACGTTGGACGTTGACGTTGCAGTTCTATTCTAGCTTTACCTATACAGGGCAGGATACGTCTTTTGTGCAAACTCGAACTTTCACCAAAGCATACAATAAACCCTACCCCCCTTTTTTTCCGGGGGGGGGGGGGGGGGGGGAAGGGGGGATTGCTGTTGTTTTTTGTTGCTTTTTTTTTGTTCTGAAAACGAATGACGTAGTTTTGTGGCGACGCTTTAAAATCACTCACATTTAGTAATACAATGTTGCTCGCACCGTAGTCGAAAAGTGCAGCTGTCAAGTGGGTTCATTTTGGGTTCAACTCAGGAATGTTATTTGGCAAGAGCTATCTATTT